TTCCCTCACATCGAGCTTTCCCTTAATCTACCCACAGAACGTTTAGCCAATTATTATTATCTACACCGGGCATTTCAAATTTCGTTTTCTTAACTGCTTCGACTGCAAGTGTTAACATTTCATGTCTTTTCGTTGTTTGTATGCGTTTAAGTCAGCTTTTCTTGCATAAAGTCAGTAGATAACTTGGAGACACCTGTTTCATAACATATTCGTCATTGCCTTCTAGGGCCAGTTTGCCCTTTCCTGTATGATTAAGAGTTGGCGCATCCTATTCAGCAGTTGTTACCTCCTTTCCTTTCATTTCAGAAGGTTCACTTTGCGATCATGGCCAGGGCAACCCCAGCGCAACTAAAGTACATGCGACACTATCTCTCATTGGTCATTCATGTTTCCAACTGTTCGAATCTCAGATGCGAGAGAAGAAGTTGCCGAGTGATGCGCGACATTCTCTCTCACATGCACGCTTGCTCAAGTAGAGAAAACTGTATTTACAAGGATTGCAGGCGATGCTCGTTGCTCCTGAAACACTGGAGGGATTGCGTTTGCCGACGGCGATGCAATCTTTGCAGTTTGGCATACACGGAGAACCTACAGACGGAAGAGGATTTTTCGATCGGGTGCGAGAACGAATTCGTAGATATGCTCGAGTTCGAAGACAGGGACAAGGACAAGGACGAGGACGGGGATCATGGGAGCATGTGCCGATCCCTTATGCGGTGGTAGCTACGGAGGTGAAATATTTTGTGCCTTAGATTTGTACTCCATTTATTTTATCCACGCAAAATCCCCTCCATCACCCTCCATCCTCCCCCCTATTTCATCTCCAACTTACTGTTTTGCATACGATTTGATATATGCATGTATTTGAATGGAAGCGTAAGAGTGTTGTGAAAAGCTGGGTATCTATGAGGAGGGGAAGTGCTGTTATGTCTCGAGGCAAATTTGAGTGTTCGTCTTATTGATGTGGAGTGAGGTGAGACATTTTTGCCTCCATTTGGTTAGAAGTAATTAGGCGTAAGCACTGGAGAGCACTGGCTCGGTAATGGAACTAATTTGGATGTAACTTTTAACGGTGATTGAATTAATGCTCCAACTTTCGGGACTGTCTTGGTGGCTTTGGGCGTTAGTTAGTTGAAGGAGCGGTTATTGTATGAGTCGATGCGGTTACAGGTAGCTTCGTTGAGTGACAAAATGCTCGGTGTACATATTGCCATGCATACTGGCTTACAGACGTGTATGCGCACAGATACCAACAGACAATACGTCCTACTTTTGCTTGTGAGTAAGTGGAATTTTCGCATGTGATTTATACATATTTATATATACATTCGTACATATATTGGAATCATCAGTACATCATTCACTTGGCTCTTCACATCCTACTAGTATCCTCACTTCTATGCGAACACGTATATGTGGAGTGCTTGATCAATGCTATAATTTTGTGAACCGTCTAAGTAGGTCAGAATTGTGTGCGGGAATAAATTTTATCAGAGAAATGAGGAATAAACCTCTACTTTTGAGGATAGACCACTAGAGCATGAAGCAGTGCACTGTATCCATGACATAGAAACCTACAACCTGAATACAAATATCAAATATTTAAAGTTTCATTTCATCTGACTTAGTTCTCTGACCCAATTTCTCTTTTCACTCGCTCCCCCCCCCCCCCCCCCCTCCTCCCCACCTCCATCAACTCCCATGGGCAGCTTCACTACTCGCCCTGGTCCCACGATGACAAATTGACACTTTTTCGTCTAGTTTTACAAATGTTAGATAAAGCAGATATTTTATTAGATGAAGCAAATAACAAATTGTTGCAATTAATAAATATTTCAATGACACCTGTTATTTCTTCCAAGTTCGTTTATATGGACGTGATGTGCTATTATATGCTATGGTTTGGTCGTAAGTTGTATTTGGTTGAATTGGGAGTAATTGGGTATTAAATATACCATAACATAGGACATTTAGTAATACAGAAAGGAGATTTTGGCCTTTACAGGTGGACTCCTCTCGAAATGTGAGAACCAATGAAGATGTAGAGATAAAATTTTGTTTTATCGACTATCTATGGGACTATGTTGGAGGTAATGAGTGGAACTTATAGCTTATGGATGCGTAATTAAAGTTTAGCTCAAGGTCGAAGTGTGAGCATGAATTTTGAATCGGTGTTTATTTACTCATTTATTTTGCAAAGTGTGTGTCTAGCTCACATCGATCAACGCGGTCATTTACAGATTTGCTTTTTCCAACTCTGTCAGTTTCAGCTATGCACTTTGCTCAGCTTCTCCAGACGAATTTGAAGTGATTTGTGAAGTGTGGAACCACCCACCAACTACCAATTGGTCCAAACAGGTCTACGTGAAATTCGGTATTTGTCTCAATTCTCCTCCATCTCCTTCAAACCGAATCTCCAATCATCGAGTTGGGTGATCAAGAAAAATTTCAAAATGTGAGGAGTTTAATGAAATAAAGTCTTCAACCGCAACTTATTTCTACTTCACCCCTTCCCCTTGACCAGCTTCTTCCTTCCATCATAAAGTGTTGTTCTGAAAGCTCTGTTTTCAGTACTCGATTCACATCTCTAACACAACTTAGAGATCAATCACTAGCACTGCCAAGGGCCGATTGGACATGTCAAGAGAGAGGAGGATCTGTGTGGTAGCAGGGCCCAGAGTCAAAATTATAAATTCCGCCAATTTAACTTAGCCCCTTCTCGTTGCCTCACTTTTATCATCATGTGCACTGTCGAGCTTCAATCAGCACGCACTGTCAGCTTTTCGACATTGAGCGACCTTTGTGTCACTCTTTAATTCGTTCTAGCTCTAACTTAGCCTCAGCGGATTGTTTTAATTGACACTGGAATGATTATTCAATTTAATAAAGTGCAATAATGTTAGGTTAGTGAATGTCGATGGCAGAATGAATGTTTCGTTCTCAATTAACTCAGAAGTGCTTCATACTGAAGCAGACTTTTCTTATCTTCCAAAAGTGGTTGCCACGTCATCATTAAGGTACTTGAATGCTCATTCTTTAAAGCCAATGTAAACAGGCATTTGGGCGGCTTAATAGGTCACCTATTTCCCCCCCCCCCTTATCACTCATTATTAATATGTGACTTTCGTGATATTTAAGTTCATGGATCTTGTTCTGACAAGAATCATCGGCTCTGAAAGCACCAACACTATTCTGTCCTAGTTTTAACTATGGAAAAGGGAATTATACAAAAAATGATGCAATCAAAACACTGGCATTTCCAATAAATCCTCTTGTTCCTTAACTTAGCAACAACAGTAGGATGAATGGGATTGGACTAGGGTAATTGGCCTGGATATTGGTATCTGGCAGTCTTATCAAAGTATCTCAATTGGAGTCACTTTACCCAACTCTCCTCTCTCCGTTCTTTGCACTCTGAATTTAATGACTACTAGCAAGCGTTACATTCAAAGTCCCTTTGGCTTATAGCTTAACACCACAGTGGCTCAGTTCTCGTAAATTGCTTTAGACAGATACCAGTAGAAGTGCCATAATAATTACGCTGGAGACTTGATTTTGTGTGGATTTTCTTAAATCTGTGTGTGCATTCAGGAACACATATCTACCCTATCGAATAAGAAGCATATACACATAGTGTTAGGAATGAATTTGATAACTCAATCAGGAAAAAATAGTGATTTGTAACTACGTAATTGAGCTGCTTTGAAGGAAGTTCAGCTACGCTATTACCAGTGATTATCAACAAAGATAATGCCTATTGGCGTTTGATACACCCTCGACCGGATCACACTCATTAAACCTTAAAAAAAGGATTTTAAACTATGCGTGCAAATTGTTTCAAAAGCTGATTAACTTTTGTTCATTAACTAATTTGCTATTGTACTACTGACACATCGATTAGTACCCCCTCTCGAAAGTAACCCCATGCATTTTGGACAATTTGGTTAAGATCAGGGGGGGGGGAGTTCGGTAGCCGAATGAACATTGGCGCTGGTGAAGCCGCGAAAATCGGCAGAGAGTTTTCAATTTTTTGCCAAGGTGTGGCAGATTGCCTATTATCGGATATGACCTGTTGTTAGCCAAGGCTTAACGACAACAGTGGTTGACAACTTCACTTAGGAATCTGAATTCAAACTAAGCTCCTCGGTTCGAAAAGGGGAAGAGGTCATTTATTCATAAACAATTATATTCTGTGCCGATTTGGTCTGCATGAGTTCGGGATTTTTGTGCAAAACAGTTTCCATCTGGGAATAATCAGATTGTGATTCTGCAGAATGTTCCATTTTGCACTACAAGTTCTTCACTTTTGTTGGATTATTTTCTTGGACTTTTTGTGAGATACTTACCTCTGCGACACCGGCATGGGATGATAAATCAAGAGTCTTCATTCAACTCAAGGTTGATGGTAGAAGTGTGGAAGATTCAACTAGCTTTAGCAACAGATTGCGAATTGCGATGTCAGGGTGCTATAGCATTTTGTCTCCTATATTCCCCATAAAATCTATTTTGGACACTGTCAATGACATCGCAAATTTTATGATTATATTAACTTCAAACCCATGTTGTTTGCATATAGACGAAGTGATAATTCGTTTAAACTATTACATATATTTGTTTTGGAAACATTAATCAAATCTACGTATTGTCATATCACCGCATAAATGATTTTGACAATTTTGGGGTCTCATAAATTTTTCCATAATTCCTAAATAACTGCAACTTTACTGCAATTTAAAAAAAATTAACTTCCCACTTAAAGAGTTTCTACAATCCATAATTCTAAGTCGCTTGATGTTGTTAATCTCAATGCCAAAACAT